TGTAGCCCCAGCTGTCCTGGAACTCACTATATAGACCAGGCTGGCCTTGAACTCACAGAGATCTGCTTGCCTCTGCCTCCTGAGTGCTGGGACTAAAGGCGTGCACCACCATGCCTGGCTTATTTTTTTTTTTAAAACATATGATGACCTACTTCTTTTTAAAAATTTTTATTTAGTATTTTTTAAAAATTTTATGTGTATGCACGCATTGCCTGCATGTAGGTAAGTGCATCCGTGCCATGCAATGTCTGTGGAGGACAGAAGAGTCTGTCGGATCTCCTGGATTTGGAGTAACAGACAGTTCTTAGCTGCCATGTGGGTGCTGGGATTCGAACCCGGGTCTTCTGCAAGAACAGTCAGTGTTCTTAACTGCTAAGCCATCTCTCCAGCCCCTCACAGTATCATTCATAACACAAGGAGTGGGCTTGCCTCTTGACCATTTTATTGACCATATAAAATGTTAGCAGACTCCCATACTGGGTGGATAATCTTGCTAAAAATGTATGTACTTTTCTCCAGCCTTTCTTTTTCTTCTCTTTCATCCTTCCTTCTTTTTTTCCTATTTGAGGCAGTCTCACCATGTAGCCTAGGCAGGCCTCAAACTCTGAGATTCTCCAGCTTCAGTCTCCCAAATGCTGGGATTTCAAGACTGTATTACATATCCAGCCTCAAGATTCATTTTTTTAAAAATTAGTTTATTATTTTAGTCTTTTCATTCCTATTTTCTCTTTTGACAATTAACCCAGACTTTATTCTACATTAATTTTTTTCAAACAAAACCTGAAATCATATTATTTACCCAAAACTTTAAAAATATTTATTTTTATTTTATGTGTATGTGTGTATTGCCTGCATGTAGGTAAGTGTAACCATGTTGTGCAGTGCCTGAGGAGGACAGAAGAGGCTGTCAGATCCCCTGGAACTGGAGTTATGGACAGTTGTTAGCTGCCATGTAGGTGCTGGGAATTGAACCTGGGTCTTCTGCAAGAACAGTCAGTGTTCTTAACCGCTGAGCCATATCTCCAGCCCCGATTTATCCAAAACTTTAATATTTCCTCATCATCATCTAGCTTAAGTAGACGTTACAGGTTGGCTTTTCACAAAAATAGCTCCAATTTATGTTCCTGATCCATTTTCTAGTATTGCTCCTATAGATATATGACCCACAAGCCTATTTTCCATGAAGGCTCTGATTGTTAGGGAATAGTGGGTTAGTACTCATTAGTAGGTTTAGTTGCTGTCCCAGAGGTAAATGAGAAACTGAAAAAATAACCCTTACCCCAACAGAGAGGTTCAGATGTGAACAACAACCTGTCATCTTTTCCAAACACAGTACTGATACGTCATATTTTTGCTTAAGACTATTACAGTCGGGGGTTGGACAGATGGCTTAGCAGTTAAGAGTGCATAGTGCTCTTGCAGATGATCCAAGTTTGGCTCCCATCATTCACTGAGAACTTACACCCACCTGTAACTCCAGCTCCAGGGGATCTGACACTCCCTGTTGGTCTCCTTAGGCACCTGCACTCATGCACATAACCACTCCTCCAATAAAAATAAAATAAATCTTAAAAAAACTCAACTATTATATTGGGATATTTTGAAATTGGAGAGCTATAGGCCAGGATGTGCCTACAATTTCAGGGTCCTAAGAATTTAGACTGGCAAAAAATTGCATCTTTATTTTCAATTGATACTGGCTGAAATTTATTATTTTTATTATTTTAAGGCAGGGTCTAACAATGTAGCACTGGCTGGCCCGAAACTCACTATGTAGACCAAGATCTGCAGGCCCCTGCCATTAAAGGAGTGTGCCACCATACTCAGCCTATTTTTATTTTTATGTTTCTGGCTGAAATTTAGCATTTTCTCCAATACTAGTAGGCAATAACTAGTAGTAGAATTAGTTGTCTCTGTCTTTGTCACTATTAGAATTCTGGTATTTTTCACATGATTTAATGTTGTTGCAGGTATCTCAATTTAATTTATACTCATTACTCCCTTAAAAAGACAAACTTGGGTCTATTGCTAGAGGTTATTTAATGCATAAAGAAGCACATATGTAATTACATCACATATATTTTGTTTGCTTTGTTTTTTGAGACAAGGTCTCCTTGTAGCTCCTACTGGCCTGGAACTCACTATGCAGACCAGGCTGACCTCAATCTCACAGAGATCTTCCTGCCTCTGCCCCGACTCCCAAGTGCTGGGACTAAAGGTGTGTGCTACCACACGAGGCCCTACATCGCAAATTTTAAAAACATTTTAACACTGGCTTCTTGCTTCTATGTATTTTATTTTATGTATTTAAGACTTCTCTGAGATCAAGTCAATGGGCCAAATTGCCAAAGGAATCTAGATTGTAAGAGGTTAAGGGCTTTTGTTATTTATATCTATTGTTTGTAGTATACAATTTAAATCCTGTAGCATGGAATTCAAGGCTCCTCATCATATGTTCACACATTTATCATTTTCATCTATCCTCCACCGCTACTCTTCAAATTATGCTCTAGCCGTATCAGACAACACTCTCTTATCTGGAGGTAGAGAGACACTTTTTTTGAACCCTAATTAATGTACAGCAGTTATGCTGTCTTGAGCTTTACCTTATATAGTGAATTCTTCTGTGTTAAGAGGCCTGTTTCCCAGTGTGATCCTCAAGGGCTGTATTTTAAACATCTTTATATATTTTTCTTAGCACAAATGATTGATAAATGAGTAAGACACTCTAAATTTGCAAGACAGTGTGTACAGGAATTTCTAAGGGGAGTGGATGTTGGTCCCAGAATCTCATAATTGGCTTAACTCTTGTTTAACTATTGGTCTTTTGGGGACTAGAAATGTGAATTGCTTTTGAGCTCTGAGACTGGAAATACAGCTGATAAAACCTGTTTGCAAGGTAAAGCAAAGAGTAACCGAGGTGGGACCTGATTATGTGTATGAGTGTTTTGCTGCATGTATGGCAGTGGGACTGGTGCCTGTAATCCCAGCTACTCGAGATGCTAAGACAGAGAGGATCTGACAGTTCAAGGCCTGCCTAGACTACAGAAAAAATCAAGGCAAGCCTAGGCAATTTAGTGAGACCCTAACTCAACAAACAAAAACAAAAAACAAAAAAGAGGGCTGGGGGTAGTGGTAGAGCACTTGCATAGCATGTATAAAGCTCTAGGGTCACCTAGGTTCACTTCCCCTGCTCAGTACTGCCCTCCCTCACCTCACCCTGGCCCCAAATTGAGGCTGGTACTGTGCTGACTGGAAAAGCAGGTGTGGCTTCCCTTCTCTGTTCCCAGAGCAGTCATTCAAAACTTTCACCATTCTGTTCACTATTTCTATCTTTAACTCTCTCTGTTGTCAAATGATTTCTATTTTAACCTTTCAAAGTCAACTCCCTTAACTTGCTGCCTGTTCCCAATTCCCATCTCTCCCCTCTCAGTAGTTTGGTGGCACTCAACCCTCCTCATCAGAGTTCAGTTGGGGAGCTAGAGTTTACTATGGGTTGGGGGAGGAACAATAGCATTCGACTAAAAGAACTTCCTAGGTGATTCTAGTGCGCACAGGCTCGGGTTCTAGTGCTCTTTTGACTGTACCTTTCCTCACCGTCAATCATTCACTTCCAGCTTCCATAGTACAACTTAGGAAAAAAAAAGCTTATTTTTATTTTTTATGTGTATGAGTGTTTTGCTGCATGTATGTAAGTGCACCACATCTATGCAATGCAAAGCCAGAAGAGGGCGTTGGATCTCTTGAAACTGGAGTTTGGACAACTGTGAGCTGCCATGTGGGTGTTGGGAATCGAACCCAGGTCCTCTGCAAGAAGAGTCAGTGCTCTTAACTGCTGAGACATCTCTCTAGCCCCCACAGTACAACTTTTTAAGCTTTTTCTTTTCCCAGTGGTAATGAATGATCCCAGAGCCAAGCGCATGTTAGCAAGCTAAGCAAGCATTCTACTAATTGAGTTAAACTACTCTTTTTTTTTTTTTTAATTTGGCTCAGGCTAGCCTTGAATTTGGCAATCAACTGCCTCACCCTTTCAGCAGCTAGGATTACAGGCTAGCTAACCCAGTGAGTCTGCCATCTACAAAGAAAGGAGCCTTTGGTCCCACGTTTCTTCGTTACCCTCACGCTTTATAACAAACTTTAGAGATTTTCTTTTTCTTCCTTTTTTTTGGAGGGGGGGGTTAGACAAGATCTTGCTATGTACTCCAGGCTTGGTCTCAAGTTCGCCACCTCGCTTGGCTGCTTTGGAGGAACGTCTACAGCAGTACGACTTTTACTAGGTATTTCATAATCCTTTCGCTCTTTACTCTCCCAGGCCACTGCCACACGCTTTTACACTTGTCATTATCTCCACTTCCACCTCTTCTCCCTGTTCTTTGATCGACTACTGCTCACCAGGATTCTAACACAAGTCCTCTGCCTGGTCTTAAAGTCGCCTGAGGAAAATCCTCTGTAATCAGGAACACCACCTCGTCTGTATTCAGAGATCATGCCCTGTAACTTTTATTTACTTATTATTTTCTTTTGAGGTAGCCCCAGCTGGCCTGGAACTCCCTAGGTAGACCAGGCTGGCCTCGATTTCACAGCGATCCGATGGCCTCGGCCTCCAGATTTCTGGGCTTAAAGGTGTGCGCCACCACGCCTGGCCCAACCCCTATAATTTTACTGGCTACCATTGCAGATTCTTTTCAGTTTCTTACATCACAGAGCATTTCAAAATGCTGAAATTATTTAATTTACTTCTGTTTTCCTGGGTCTTACGGTACATAAAACAACCCAGTGAAGTAAGTCTGTGGAATGAATGGAAAGAAACACTTGGACTCGGGGGTGGGGACGTATGGGGGAGAGGGCGTGCGTGTGTGGAAAGGGGCGGCGCTGAGACTCCAGCTGCAGAATGGGGACCAAGTGCTAGGGTACGCAGGAGCCGGAGTCTGCGTGGGCGGCAAAGCGATCCACTGCCTCGGTAGACTGAGACAAACCCAAGTGGGGAGGAGGCTTCTTACCTATTCCTCGGGCCTCACCACCCCAACCAGCCTTCAGGCACCTCTGTACTGGCCGGAAAGTGAGACCTAAGGTCGCAAACCAAGAGTTGGCGTTCCCAGCCTTGCGACATTTCTGTCTAGTCAAGCCTGGGACGCCAAGGCTGAGTTCCCAGCCCTGCCGTAAAGTGAGGAAAAGCAAGTAGAGGCGGTGGCGAAGGAACCGGGGCGTGTCCGCGCAAGCGCAGGCTGCGCGCTCTGGACGCATCACGTGCGGAGGCGGGGCCAGGCGGGGCCGCCTCGGGCTGGCCGTAGGGGGCGTGGGAGGTAAGTGCGCGCGCGCCTGTTCGCCTGCAGCCGGAGAGTCGCGCGGGGCGGGGCCGCGTGCGCGGGGTCGGGGGCGCGCGGACCCAAGCGGACTGGGGACTTGGCGGCTGTTGGTGGTAGCTGACGAAAAGTCCTGGCAGGACCGTGAGGGACCGCGGCGGAGGTACTGGTCTCAGGGGCTGCAGCGGCGACAGCAGCTGAGGCGGCGGGTCGTACGCGTGCTCTCTGGGCGGGGTGCGGCGGGGGATGTGCCTGCCCAGGCCGGGCGGAGTCTCTGACAGGGCGGGGGATGCGCGGCAGTCGCTCGCTCGGACCCTTAGGCAGCTGAGCCCACGGTCTCGGAACCGCCGGATCCCCCAGCGGCCTGGGTCTCTGCTGCTCTGCTCCCGCCTGACCCTGGGAAGCGAGGGTGGGAGGCGGCTTCCGCCGGAGAAGAAGGGGCTGTGGTGGCCACCGCGGCGCGGCCCGAGGTAAGACCCGCCCCAGCGCCCAGCGGCCCAGCGGCCCGGCCCGGCCTGGCCTGGCCCGGCCCACGTCTCAGTCTCGGCTCTTTGGCTCCTTCGCAGGGCCGCCCCGCCCCGCCCGGGCGGAGACGTCCCGCCAGCGGGTCTGCCCAGAGCCTGGGGAATGCCGGAGTCCGGCCCGGATCCCTCGTAGACCCCACCCCTTGTACCTTCTATTGGCCAGACACTGTCCTGGTGCCGCGGCCGGGTCTGTCACTGTCCTCCACCGCCTGCTGAAGCCCCTTCAGCCTCCCTTAGGACTCTTAATGGAGCCTCCAGACTCCGTTACGTCGGACCGGATCTCAATCCCGGAGCCACAGCCGCCACTGCCAGTCCCGCTCCCCGCTCCGTTGCGGTTCCCTAAGATCCGTCGCTACCCCAGACACCCTTGGCCAGCTCGCTCTCATCCAGCCGGTTAGCTCCCCCCTTCCTAGACAAGGTTTCAGATGCCCTCTGTCTTGGTGCTCTTATCTTCTAAGTAGGTCTGGGGTCAGCCCCTTCAGTCAACGTCAGAGTCCTGAGCTCCTGCATCCCCTCGTATAGCCTCTTTCCCAGACCCTCGCTCCTCAGCAAACTGTCTCTAGCCAATCGTGATCCTTTCTTTGGTTGAATTTTCCAGGAAAATTTGAAGGGGTTTATTTACTTAGTCTGTTGTATTCCCTCTGGTGGGATATAAGGGGACAGACGGGCCATGTTTGGACCGTTTGGGCTGGTTGCTGAAAAGGAAGGAGAGGGAAGAGTGGAAGCCCAGAGAGAGAGGGGCGCGCGCGTGTGTTTGTGTGTATATAAGGTCGGCTCTCTGATTCTCATCATGTCAGAACACATGAATCTGTCCGTGTGTGTGTGTGTGTGTGTGTAAGGTCAGCTCTCTGATTCTCATCTTGTCAGAACACATGAATCTGTCCAAATCAGACCCTTTGGGGGCTTCTGTAAGGATTAAATTGCATTACAGTAACAAACATATATATGTCTCCGTATAGTATTTACTTGTAGATTTATACAGATATTTGCACTTGTTTTGAAGGATTAACTAAAGGACCTTAGGATTTACTGGTTTTGAAGTTGTTGGAAAACTAGGATTTGTGCCAGGTGTGGTAGCACATGACTGTAGTCCCAGAACTTGGGAGGTAGAGACAGGTGGATCTCTGTGAGTTCAAGGCCAGCCTGGTCTATGTAATGAGTTCCAGGACAGCTGGGGCTGTAGGGAGACCCTGTTTCAAAAAGACTAGAAAAAACAAACAAAACCCTAGGATTTCTAGCTGTTCTTACCCTGAAGACTTTAATGTCATTCTAATAATTTCCTACTACATGATGCTGCTGTCTTCTCCAAGGAGCATGTATAAATATTATGCAATGTTGATGTCATTACTAACAATCTTCTAAATAGTAAAATATTGAATGTTTGTTGAAGTCGTACTCTTGAGATGTCAGGTAGGTAATGTAATGTTAAATGAAGTGATCAGTGCATAATTTTAATGTTGATGTAGGGGGAAGGGATAAAAAGGTCTTTGTAGTCAGTACTTAATTTTCCTTTCATTTTGTATGTCTGTGGAATATAGGGAAAAATCATATTGAAATTAGAGATAATAACTAGGCATAGTGAAAAGCAAAAGGTTCAGAAGACTAATGTAGTCGTTTCTCCTCCATTCTCCAGCCATCCATTTTCTCATCTCCAGCTTCTGTAACTTTTTATTTCCAGCATTTACAAGCTTTTATCTACATTCTTTTTTTTTTTTTTCTTTTTGAGACAAGGTGTCTCTGTAGCCCTAGCCTGGTCAGGCTGTTGTGATCTTGCCCCAGTGAATGCTGGGAATGGAACTCAGGTTCTTTGGAAGAGCAGCCAGCACTCTTAACCACTAAGCCACCTCTCCAGCCCCTCTACATTTTAAAGACACACAAAGTACACATCGGTTGTTCTGTTTTCATTTAATAAGGTCCTAGAGATCATTCAATAATACAATGGAAGAGCCTCATTTACTGACTGATAGTAATCAATTTTAATGAACTTGGGTTTATTTTCAGTCCTTTTCTTTTACAAACTCTGCTGCACACTTTTATTTTAAATATATCAGCTGTCAGACATCTAGATAGGCTGACTAGATTCACGGGATGGACAACTACTGGGGAACGGCTGGGGTGCTGACAGCACAGCAGACAGTAGCAGGGAAGCTATTGGGAGGGTGCTATCTGGGAAGTGGTTATATAGATGAATAAAATTGGGATGTTCTGTGTGATAGACACAAAAAAAAATCACCAAATTTTAAAAAATGAGTTATATTTGAGGAAGAAGCATAACATTTACATCATGTTAATTAGTAGAGGTGATAAACATAAAAAAGTATCAGCTGTTGTAGTATAAATTCTTTAATGATTGGAAGAAAACACTGATGATTCTTTTGAATCTACAAGAAAAGGTATATCTAAGTTTCTCATTGAATCTATGAGCTATAATAGTATGACTAGCTTTGGTGCTAATTGTATTTATCAGACAAAACACTGAAGTATTTGAAGTGGGCAACCAAAAATATTCAGATTTTCCTTTTTAAAAGTCATTCCCTCCAGTTAGGAGAGCAGATTAAAGTGCAGAATAAAGTTAAGTGCAGGAATATACCAGGAGGGTGATCATGACTCTGAACTTGAGTATTGGTAGTTGACTAGTCTTAAAGATTTGATTGGTTTTGAGGTTGGAGAGAGCACGCAGAGAGTATAGAATCTAGGTTTCTAGTCAGTCTTTTTCTCTGATGTGGGAAGCCATATGATTAAGATTGGGATTTTAACTTTTTTCATGTTGGATGTTACATTAGTGACATGTTGAGCAAGTGTCCATTAGGCAGCCGAATTTGTGACTGAAACTCATGACAGGCTCTGGGCTGAGTGTTGGGATTACAGAAATGCAACATCATGTCTGGTTTTAGGCAGGGCTTGGTACATGTTAGGTATTCTACCGATTGAGCTATCCCCCCGTGCAATTAGTATTTTTTAAGACAGGACTTCCCTATGTTGCCACTTGGCCTAGAATTTTCTGTATAGCCCAGGTTGGCATCAAACTTGATCCACTGAGCCTTTGGATTATGGGTGCTAGCATGCAGAGCTAATGTATGACAGGGTCTCCCTGTAGCCCCAGCTGGCTGAATTTTAAAACAATTTTTTCCTGTAGTTAAAATTTAGTGGCATATAGTTTGTGATGGAAATGGTATAAATTTAGATTTGAAATGTTTATTTTTATTTTATGTGTATGAGCGTTTTGTCTCTAAGTGCTCCTGTGCATGGACAGTGTCCACAGAGGCCATGTCCTAGTTTGTTTCTCCATTGCTGTGACAAAACACTCTGACCAATACCAACTTGGGGAGGAAAGGGTTTATTTGTCTTACATTTCTCAGGTCGCAGTTTATCAGGGAGCCCAAGGTAGGAACTCAGGGCAGGAACCAGGAGGCAAGAGCTGAAGCACAGGCCATGGAGGAATGCTGCTTACTGGCTTGCTCCCCTGGCCCTTGCTCAGCCTGCTTTCTTATGCAACACAGGCCCACCTGCCCAGAGGTGGCACCACCCATAGTGGGGCGGGCTGGGCCCTCCCACATCACTCAACAGTCAAGAAGGTGTCCCACAGACATGGCCACAGGCCAGTCTAATGGAGGCAATTCCCCAGTTGAGGCTCCTTTAACCCAGGTTTGTCAAGTTGACATTGAAGCTATCTAGCACAGGCCAGAAGAGGGTATTGGATCTCTTGGAACTGGAGTTACGGTTGTTTATTATATACCATGTGGGTGTTGGGAACTGAACCCTGGTCCTCTGCAAGACTAGCCATTGCTTTTACCACAGAGCCATCTCTTTAGCCTTCAGTGTTTTGTGATTTTTTTTTGTTTTTAATTTGATGGGGATTTTGCTGTATTGCACAAGGCTGTTGATATGTCTTGAATTCTTGGCTCAGTTGATCCTCCTGCCTCAACTGCCTAATTAGGTAGCTGGAACTGCCAGTGTGTACCATTTTGCTCAGCTAATCTTAGTTGTTTTAAAAGAAATACAAGTACTAAAGTAAAAATTAGTAATATTGTCTCTATGTTTTCTAATCATTTTGAACTATTTAGATGTTTATTCAATCTTAATATTTTCAAGGAAGTACAGGGAGTTTGAAAATAAAGTTTGCCAACATCATTAAGGTTTTTAATTTGAATGATTTTTTTAAGGTATATTAAAAATTTGAAATAACCATTAGTCAGATTTTTCAGACATCTTTAAAACACATCAACTTGAGTCAGGCGTGGTATCCTGTGCACCTGTAATGCTATCATTTGGGAGACTGAGGCAGGAGGATTGCCAGGAATTTAAGGCCAGCCTGCACTATATAGGCTCTTTCTCACCCCTGTCACACACACACACACACACACACACACACACACACACAAATCCAGCAAAAAGTACATCAATTTAATGTTTTGATTCCTAAGTCTATAGCTGCTTTCTAGAACTCTTGTCTGGTTTACACCTCTGCAAATCACCCATAATGGACCTCTCTACATGGTTTCATATTTCATAAGCACTCCAATCCCAAGATAAAACAACCCTTTTCTGCGTCTTTTCCAAAAACACCAGTTGGGAGTGGGAGAGACAGAAATTGCAATTAAAAATTTTATCTTGATTTCGTGTCTTGATTAGTGGCACC